ACTCAAGCCACTACAATTTTGGGATGCACCTAGTAGCATGACATTTATTAGGAATAAAGACCTGAGTTCTGGTGCATTTTTGCACGTGGGGGTTATTATGTTACTGCTATGCGGCATCTAGTTTTCTCTTAACTAACCTCTGAGGCCATCACAGAGCAGATGTATTTGTACTGAGATTAGATTAAACACAAATGGACTCTATTCAGTCATTAGCAGTCATCAGGCAACTTCTTATGTAGTACCTCAGTCCTGGAAGAATGGTATTTTGTTTCACTCTATATTGCCCTCACCCCCCTGGACCCCCAATTTATCTGAAAAGGGGGTATCTGGACATTGAAAAAGGGTTATTGGTAAAAAAAAAAAAATAACTATTAAACATAGGAGCTTCAGATTTCTTTTGTTGTTTAGCTCTGATGAAGGGCTATCCATCAGGCCCACCGATCAGTGCCCCCACCCCCAGGACCCCCAATTTATCTGAAAAAGGGGTATCTGGACATACAAAAATGTCATGGTCTGTGTTTACTTTCTGATGTTCTAGTGTTTTCAATGTTCCCCTGTGTTTCTCTGCCTTGCAGCCCTACCCTCTCTCACCTGTGTCCTCTTGTGTCTGCTCCAGGTTTGTCTTGTTTCCCTAATTAGTTTGCCTTTATATTTGGTGTTTTGTCCTCAGCCTGTGTCTGTTCATTGTGCTGTTTTACTTACCCAGTGTGGTGTTCTCTGTGTTCCTGTTCCTGTGAGTTTTTGAGCCGCCCTGCCAGCCTTTTTGTTAAATTAATAAATCTTTTTGTTAAACTTTGGATTTTTGCCTGCACCCTGGGCTTTTCCCTGCCTGCACCTCACAGAATGAAYGGACCAACAAACACCCAGCCTGCAGGCAAGTTTTCTTTTTCTGGACTGCCCTCCTCCACCTTCCACTGGGGGGTTGGATGCCCAGCCTTCCACCTTTCATTTAGGGTCTTCTGGGGTCCAGCCTTTCACCTTCCGCTCGGGATCTTAGGCAAGGGTCCTGGCTGAGAGCTTTGACGCCCACCCTCCCACCCCTCTTGCTCCTGAGTCTGCTGGGCCTCCTGAGTCTTCTGGGCCTTTTGAATCATTTCTTGAGCTTCCTGAGTTAATGGTCCCGGTTCCTGATTCTGTGGTTCCTGAGTCGGTGGTCCCGATGGTTCCTGAGTCGGTGGTCCCGGTGGTTCCTGAGTCAGTGGTCCCGGTGGTTCCTGAGTCTGTGGTCCCAGAGGTTCCACAGTCTGTGGTTCCACAGTCGGCGTTTCCACAGTTGGTGTCTTGGTGGTCTCGGAGTCGGAGGTCTYGGTGGTCCCAGAGTCGGAGGTCTCGGCGGTCCTGGTGGTTCGAGGGTCGACGACCGCCATCGCCTGGGTCGTCGTTCCTCGCCTCCTCTTTGCCTGGGTCATTGTTCCTCGCCTCCTCATCGCCTGGGTTGTCGCTCATCGCCTCCTCTTCGCCTATGTCATCGTTCCTCGCCTCCTCTTTGCCTAGGTCATCGTTCCTCACCTCCTCTTCACCTGGTCATTGTTCCTCGCCTCCTCATCGCCTGGGTTGTTGCCCATCGCCTCCTCATCACCTGGGTCCTCGCCCATCGCCTCTGTCGCCTGCGTTTGCCGTCGTTGATGCTCTGGCTCCGGCAACTTCTGCCAGCTCCTCGTCTGCTCCTGCCTCCTCCCGTGGTTCCTCGTCTGCTCCCGCCTCCTCCCGTGGCTCCTTGTCTGCTCCCGCCTCCTGCCCTGCCAGCCTTTTTGTTTAATTAATAAATCTTTTTGTAAAACTTTGGATTTTTGCCTGCACCTTGGGCTTTTCCCTGCCTGCACCTCACAAAAAAATGGTTATAGCTCAAAAACTATTATACACAAGAGCTTCAGATTTTTGGTAGTTGTTTAGCTCTGATGAGGGGCTATCCATCAGGTCCACCCCCCCCCGCAAAAAAAAGATCCCCACCCAAACCACACAATCTTGGGATGCATCTGGTAGCATGACATTTATTAGGAATAAAGACTTCTGGAGTTCTGGTGCATTTGTGCGTGCGAGGGTCATTATGTTACTGCTATGCAGTATCTAGTTGTAGACCAAAGGGTCAACAAACAGGTAACCACTGTTCCACGTTCCATTCCTAATACAAATTTGGAGGCCAACTCACTTTAAGGCAGGTGCAAAGGGAAACTCCACTGAAGAAAACATGTCTGTAATATATATATAACCTGTTTAAAATACCTCAGCTACATATTTGTTTTTAGTGAAATAAGCAGCTCAGTGGATCTGAATATCTACTGTCTGAACAGATCCAACACAAACAAAGATCTGAACAGAAACTCAGTTTGTGTAGAATGGGTGGGAAGCTCAGCAAAAATATTTCTGTTTTAAAAACTGTTCAGACTCGTGGGTCTAGTGTCACCGTATGATCCTGTACTCACTGGGCTCGACCTCTGTCCCACAGCCTGCACACAGGTAGTGCTGGAGGAGCACCACTTCACTGCGTCTGCAGGAGAAACACACAGCAGGTCATTTATCATCTTAATATGCCTGACCAGCTTGGTTCTGCTGCTCCGGATGGGTTTGATGTGTTCAGATGTGATGAAGACCTATGAGGAGGATGAACGCTGAAAACGATCTGGAAACGTGGTGGTGCCCAGTTTAGGGTTCCCCTCATCCTGGTCCTCAGTTTGATCTCCTCTGACAGACTGCCGCTGCTCACCTCCACTCCCTCAGAACCTGGGAGCTGGAGACAGAGAGTAGTGTTTGTGATCTCCATTTAAACCAACATTTTTGTTTTTTGTGAACAGGACTACATTAGTATCTTATGCCAGGAGCAGATTTAAAAACTGTTTACAGAGAAAAACTGAAAATGTTGGTTGAACACCTTATCATTTTTTGAATAAAATAATTTTGAAGCAGGACAAACTTTGGTAAGTATGTTTAAACTAGCTTAGTAAATTTAGGGATTATTTTTGACCAGACACTTTAATTACTAGTCTGAGCTAGCCTGGTAAAAAAAACAGCCCCTTGTTCTACGCTTTGCTTCATACAGAGGGTCTGGACTCTTGGCTATTGAGAAGTGATTGCTTGCTGGAAGAGATAAGAGTCAATGCAAAGTGCCTCATGAATGTTAAGATGTATTTAAATCAGTCAGCTGGTCAATGTCAAAAAAAGCGATTGGCTCAGATGCGCTTCGTCGTGCGTCTGGAGGATGACAGGTGCTGACAGCTGCTGACGTGAACAGAATGTCTGTAATTGACACAGATTTTCCCTCATTTTGCAGGTTTACAGACGTTTAGAGCAATCTAATGATTTTTATCAAAAACTCAGCTTCAAATTAATTCTCTCTCAGAGCCTGCAGGACGATAAAAACAATAAATAAAATTAAATAAGTCAGATAAAGTTAAGTTCACCGCTCTTCTCCCCCGTCCTCCCCCTCCCTGTTCTGTTATCTGGGGCAGACCCCCCCACACGGTCACACACATGCACACATCCCCACACTTTTGCTGTCGTGCTGTTGAAATGTCTCTTGTCAGGGAGGGGCCTGTGGGTCAGGGTCGTCTGAGGAGGAAGGAGATGCGTGAACTTTTATTAAAAATTTAAGTTTTTATTTCAAAGGTCCTCATGGCTCAGCAGCAGAAGCATAAATATTACTGTTAAGAAAGCTGATGATAAAGTTGAATAAAAATCTAAGTTTGATTATGAAGTGAAATTAAATATCTGACAGTGATCATTACACAGTGTGGCTCTAATTCCTCACTTCACCATCTGTGTCGCAGTTTCACGTCTCCAAAATGGGTGTACGCACGGGTCAGAGCTGGCGTGAGGGACCGCACATTTTCATGTCAAGCTTGGATTTTATAAATCACAACCTTGGAGTAAAAAGTGGCGTATGCAAGTTTCTGGGCTCGATTTGTGCATATGCAAGCTTTATAAATCTGACTCCTGGTCCTGACCAGGTTTAAAGTGCAGTTTGTCCATCCATTAGGCCCACCAATAAGTGCCCCCCCCCCCCCCGAAAAAGGGGTTTCTTACCATGAAAAAATACTTATAACTCAGAAATTATTAAATGTAGGTGCTTCAGATTTTTTGGTTGTTTAGCTCTGATGAGTGGCTATCCATCAGGTCACCCAATGCCCCCCTCACCTCTCTCAAAAAAAAAAGACCACCACCCAAACCATTACAATTTTGGGATGCACCTAGTTGCATGGCATTTATTAGGAATAAAGACTTCTGAGTTCTGGTGCATTTTTGCGTGCGCGGGTCATTATGTTACCGCTATGCGGTATCTAGTTTTCTCTTAACTAACCTCTGAGGCCATCACAGAGCAGCTGTATTTGTACTGAGATTAGATTAAACACAAATGGACTCTATTCAGTCATTAGCAGTCATCAGGCAACTTCTTATGTAGTACCTCAGTCCTGGAGGAATGGTATTTTGTTTCACTATATGTTCCAATGACTGTATATGATTGATTAGAGAATAAAACCCAACTTGAACTCAGACTTGAACTTCTGAATGTGTAGCATGAATAACCGTGACCCCGACATGACAGATCCCAACCAAGCAAATGACCTCATGTCTCATAAATAACTGCACTTTGTTCTGAAAAACTTTCTTGGAGACAAATTATTTTAGTTTTCAATAATCTGTCCTTGTCAAGCAGATAAGGCTGATGAGACAGTCTGTTTTAACCTTTCGTGATTCATTACAAAAAAGAAAAGTATAATTAACTTTAATATTTCTGTGGTATAATTTTTCTTTTAAAGTATTTTAATTAAAGTGTGTATTGTCATACTGCAAAATATGAATTTTAACTGTCATTAATTTTAACATTCAGTATGATAAAAAAAACTTTTTTTCTCCTCTTTTCTCAGCAGATGATAAATCAAAAGCTGCATGTCTGTTTGTCTTGACAACACAGTGTTGGTTTAAACAACAATATATTTCTCCACGTAAGAAATGTTTAGACATGTTTGACAGAGACCTGATCATCTTTTGTTATGACTGAACACACACAGCTGAACGCTGAATGCAAACTGGAAGAAGCCAGCTTGAGTTGGATTGCTGCTGAAGCTGGAAGCTTCAAGACCTGAGATGGACACGCAAACTATGAGGGAAAATGTAGTTGTTTTACTGCAAAAGACATGTTTTTTCCGACTCCCCGCAGGGGTGACTTTTAAAGTGTTGTTTTGTCAAGTCAAAATAAAGTAGAAACTGACTTTCTTCTTACCTATTTTAAAAATGTAAGGAAAGTATAGTTAACCACATTTTCTTTACAGTACAGTAATAAAGTATTTGTACTTTGTTACTTCACAACACTTTTTATGGAAGATAGTGTTAAAAAATGGAAATGTTTAGAAGCTTTTACTGTCTGAATGTTTTACCTCCTGAAGTGAGCTCCGGAGGCTTTGTCTTCCTCGCTGAAGTGTGTGGGAAGGAAACCATTTTCTCTTGAAATCCAGCACCAGCTGTTGGGCCAGCCACTCTGCACTGTGGTGGACAGGAGAGCTCAGAACTAATCAGAACTAATGTACAACTTTCATTTTACAGAAACAGGTTTTTACTTCCTGATAGAATCCATATGCGCCGTGTTGAATCCACAGTCTGCAATAAAAACATTTATTGATTTACTTCAATAATTGRCACAATAAATGATTTCTAATATTAAAACATTAATAACTTTCATCAGTGTATTTTTTATTCCACAGAACTGCAGCTTTGATGCTGATACAACAACATTTAGGCCTGATTTTATCATTTCTTTTACCCACCATGGAAAACAAATCATAAAATTAACATTAGAGTAATCCAAATATATTATGAGATCATCTATTTATCAGGAAAATGTTGATAAAAGTGGTAAAGAAGAAGTTATTTCCTCACAGACTTCTGTAGAATTTCAAACAGTTGCCCTCTACTGGCAGAAGAGCAGAAGACAGGTTTTGTCTCTAACATGTTTTACATATCTACTCAGTCCCCTCTTATTATATGTGAAAATTGTGTCATTGGTATTCCAAACCTTAAAAAGACTTTTTTTAATAAAAAAAATAAATATTGTTACCTTCAAACCCACTGTCAGTAGAAAGAAAAGACAGAGTCTTTTGTTGATGATCAGAGTTGTAACTCTCTGGTTCCTCATCCTGGTTTTCACGACATGACTGGGACTCTGTATTTGTGTCTGTGTGTTTGTGTGACCCAATGTCTTGTTCTGCACAACTTCTTTGTCTCATCATGCATTCTGAGTCCACTGTGGAAGTCCACTGATCAGGACCTAAAGTGCACTTCACTCCCTCGAGCACCTCCAGCACCAGGTCCACCACAATGAAATGAGCATTTTCCTGAAAACACATTCATCAACATCCATGACACATCTCATTTCAGAACTTCCATCCATCCATTATCTATTCCCGCTTCTCCAATTCAGGGTCACAGGTGTCACTGGTGCCCATATCCAGCAGTCACTGTGCGAGGGACAGGGTACACCCTGGACAGGTAGCAAGTCCATCACAGGGCCACACACAGAGAAGAACAACCATTCACTTTCACTTAAGGAGAATTTAGAATTACCAATTAACATTCATGTTTTTGGTCTATGGGAGGAAGCTGGAGTACCCARGGAAAACCCACCCATGCACACACAAGCTCTATCCAGATTGAACCCTGGGCCTGGATTAGGTCCAATGACCTTCTTGCTGAGAGGCATCAGCTCTACCAACTGAGTCACTGTGCAACAGTTTTAGAACAATAGGTAAGAAAACATCAGAAGGTGTCTTTCTATGCTACACTGCATCAACAAAAAATGCAAATACCTAAGAATAAAAAATTAATTATTTAAACATAATAATTTTATAGCTGTTTGTTTCATAATTCAGCCCATTGGTATGGTTATGGTGAATGGGGGGTTGATAAAGAACCCATATGAGCAGGGCCCTTGTAAATGTGTCCATTGCTCTCCCCAAAAAGACACTGAGCTTTCATTAAAACTTTGCATTCATCAGATGAAGGACACAAGTTTAGAAACACTCATTTTTTGGCGGTTGTGCAAAATGCAAATAAATTCATATAATTTATACAATGTAATTTATTGGATTTTTTTAATATTCTATCTCTCACTATTAAAATTAACCTACCCTTAGACTGTTCATGTCTTTGTAAATGGGTAAACTTGCAAAATCAGCAAGGGATCAAGTACTTATTTCCCTCACTGTATGTAAATGTAGTGGAGTCAGATTCAGTAGGACTTCAAGGGCTGCAGAGGGTGTTGTTCTGATGGAATCTTTGATGCTCAGGGAGGTCATACATTGCACATGAGTGAGCAGCACTCTTGCCACCCCAACTTGACCTCAAACCCACCATACTAAAACAGCAAAGCATAATATGGGGCGGACATTGGCCATGTTATATTTTTTTTCTTTGTCCTGAGTTGGGCACTTAATGAATTCCCTGTATAACCTGTTTTTATTTTTACATGACTTTTCTAGACTCCTTGTCATCCAGGGAGTCAATTTGTTTTTTGATCTCTGTTAATATTTTTAAAGGGACAATAATAATTGTAAATACTTGAAAATATTTCCAAAAACATAAATTTATGTGTGGGCAAACTACACAATTCTGTGATGCTGTTTGGTTGGCAGCAGAGTTTGAGCTGTAAAATTCAAATTTTCTGCAYAGTCCACTGGTAAATATGAAAACATCCTACATTCAGTTACAAACCTTTTCCAGCTCACAGCTGGTCCTGAAGATGTCAGCAGAGACGTCCAGGAAGCCACTGCAGCTTGTCTCTTTGGTAGGAGATGCTGAGGTAGACAGAGCTGAAACAACACACACACACACACACACACACACACACACA